TGAGCCGATTCCCCTCCCCCCCCCCAGTAAACCAAGGGAACCGTGCCACCCTAAATTTGGGATCAACTCCATAGAGGAGAGCTACTCTTACGGATCAACTCAGAATTCTAAAAGAAATTAATTTTATTTGGATCGTCGGAGATAAGTATATTGTTAGTAGATTTTGCTTGATAAAGTAAATTATTAAGAGGCATTCTTTTTGTCAGCCTCAAAATAATAATAATAATAATAATAATAATAATAATAATAATAATAATAATAATAATAATAATAATATAACTCGACCGAAGACATACATAGTAATATTAAGAAGACCAATAACTTGAGGCTACCTGTACCAGATGAACTTCAACATTTTTGATTGAAGTATTTCCATAGAGGAGATATATCTGTACTCTATGAGTATTTCACAGCAATCCACGAATCATTGAACATCTGCTTCACAGAAGCATTAAATGACCCGAGTAACATACCACTTCATCCTACATAAGAAAATACCTTTTTGGTTCTCAAGAAAGGTCTTATAACCACAAAACTATAGACCAATAACATGTTTGTCTTCTATTTACAAATTATTTTCATCCTTGATCAATGAAAAAAATGTTTAGTATTGTGAAAGAAATGGGTTAATAACAGAAGAACAAGAAGGATGTATTAGAGGTGCTCTAGGTTGCAAACACCACCTTATAATAGATTCTGGAGTTGTTTTAAAACACGTCCAGAGTAAACAGAAAAACCTTCACACGTGTTATATAGATTACACAAAAGTGTTTGATACAGTTTCTTGTAACTGGTCGATAAGAACCCCTGGAATCTACAGGATATCTCCAAAGTTCATAAACAGTACAGTCATTGATGCTAGAGAGGAGGGTAACTCTGCGTGCTAACAAGGAGAAAATATGCACAATGGTCATTAAACGTGGGATATTCCAACGAGACTTTCACCCTAATGGTTCTGTTTGGCCTTAAACCCATTGTCATCACTGTTAAACAATAGTACCATTAACTACAAAATTACTTCATCAGATTATAAGATATTAAACCATCGTTTATTTATGGACAATATGAAGTTTTATGCTTGAACACAAACTTTTTTCCTTAATAGATACCACTAAGATATTTAGCCAAGATTTTAGGATGAGCTTTGTTTTGGATAAATGCACCATCATAAGCATACGGAAAGGTAAAGCAGAAAAGTTATATAACACGTCCAAGGCATAGGTGCTTACAAATGATGGTGCTTACATATATCTCGAAATTCAACAGAATATGAAACTTTATCACAGCTAAATTAAACATGCGTTTACGGAGTACAAGGAGAGATTAACCAATATAGAGTTTACTTGTTTGGTTTATCCTTTTCCAGAAAGTGACTGACAAGCGTTAGTATATATAATGTCAGTATGTGTGTCCTCCCCCCTTTGTTTCGGACAGGAACTAACAATAGCAACAAACGTATGTTTAGACTATAAGAAGTTCAGCTAGCAAATTAGTTCTCAATATAAATAAAATAAAAATATCTCTTTAGAAATTACGGGATTTTTAAGCATCATTGGTAGTCTACGAAATTACCACATTATTTTTTTTATTCTAATGACCTTGCTTTCTTGTTGACTTAATTAGATATAGCACTGAAGTAGTCACGGTTGAGTAAAAGTGAAATGGTTTTCAGGAGGTGTATGTCATGAACTTGGATGTATCTTGAGCAGATATAACAAATCCAGAAACTGGGAGCTGAAATACGAATGCCAGAATAATTCTCGCAGGACTCGGTATTTGAAAACTCACAAAATGTCATGGACTAATACTGATGTAATGCTCCTACTTTCGTGTATGCTCTACAAATATTCTTCCTTGAAGCAGGCTTTCGACATCCTTCCCGAATACTTTAAATGTATATAATGAAGTATAACTTATTTAATTAAGCATTTTCAGAGCATTTAAATATCATTAACAGTACGTGAAAATTAGTTTTTAGAGTACCCTTTGACTTCTGCATATTTAAAAAACCAAGGGCAATCGTATATGTGAAATATAGAAAAAGCTGACATAGGGAAACATTTTTCCATCCCTAGTAAAAGTTTGTAATCTGTTTTGCATGTTGTATTATGTGTTTATGGGATTATTTATACAATAAAACGATATTTTTAAGAGTTGTTTTGTTTATTTAAGTATTTATTTCAAATTTCCGATTTCATTCAATTGGTAGTTCAATAAGAAAAATAAAATATTGTATCAAAGAAATCCCCGAAAATGTGTCTCGCGCACTCTTTAAGTGAAGTGACAAAATGTTATTCAATAATTACAATTCAAATTCCTAGTTTCTGAGAAATTGTTACGTTTTCACAAAAAAAAAATCAAATAGAAGTGCCATCCGAATTTGTTATTTCCTTTCAAGAATATTTTCTCTACATCAGAAAAGAAAATTCAGGAGAAAATTTAATTTGTATCTAAAGTTACCTTTGTGTGTATAGTCGTTTTTCAGCATCAGAATTATGTGTTTTACTGACAACGTATAGAGTAGCGAACTCTTGTCCCGATATTTTCCTCTCATTTTCTCTAACTGACTGCCCGCTCCGCCGAAATATTTTGTTTGGTGAATGAATTTTTTTGTCTGCAAAATTGACATCAAAATACAAATTATGTATTCAAATTGCAGCAAGCATGTTTGGAACGGTCATACGTTTTCTATGTATGTAGTTGGCGCGACAGTACGTGATCGGGCTTAGGTCTACCGGCGACGTCCCTACCTCGGGTTCATGGACTAGACCTCAATCACAATGCAAACTTGAACGTAACGAAATGCCGTAAACTTAGCAGTAGAATTAACACGTAAAAACAAGCATTCAGAAAGACGAACGTAAGCTGAAACGTAATTTTTCCTGAGCCAATCAGATTTCAGAGTATTGAAGGTTGATCGATCGATGCGTTAATTCGCATGATTTTCACCGTGGTTTCTGGCATTTTCTTCGATTTTCCTATCGATCTGTCATTATATATAAATGACAGTAGCTGTTGTATTAGTGCTCGCATGTCCTTTATTTTATAAACAAGGATTCTCTTGCATCAAGTTCAGGAGAAAATCGTCAAATGGAATTATTTTATTCGTCATGTGAAGTTAAACTCACAAGAAAAAGGGCCGAAATTCGTACTTTGAATTCATTATGGCATTAAAACTGTTCGCAAACTAGTTTAGTAAGTAACGTAATGAAATGATATACCCATAAACTATTTGAACACTATCTGAAAACCAGGTTTGTTTCTTTCATGCTGATCTCTGATTGGCCTTGGGTAGAAGTACGAAGTTAATTTTTTTCTGTCCATCAATATTTAATCCATAATTAGGTTTTATTTTTCTAAAGATTTCTTCTAGTAGGCATATAAATAACAGTGGAGAGATTGGGTCTTCTTGGCAGACTCTCCTTCTTTGTTTAAACTTTTCCCCCTTCTTTCTATTTTTACTGTCACCCAACTGAATAAATTCTTCCTATTATATTTTGCTCGAGACACCTTGATTTAATAATACAACGTGTTCAACAGAATCAAAGGCTTTTGTAAAGTCGATGAATGCCACGTATACAACTAAATGTGTGTCTTTGTAATCTTGTGTCTTTTCCAGAATTTGGTTCAGCGCTTGAAGGTGGTCTGCTGTTGAAACGTTTGAACGAAATCCTTCTGTTTGCTTGTCTGCAGTTATTCAATTATGTTCTTTAATCCTCTTGTAATTTCTTTAGAAAATATTTAGTTTAAGAGTCATTCCACGTCAAATCGCACTCTCTGAAAACATTACTATATTTTAGCAACTTTAAACTTTATTATCAGTTCTAGGGTTGAAAATGGGCGACACGTATTTTTACTTTTTTTTCTAATCTCACCACCATTTCAGAAATATTACCATTTACTTTTTCCTAAGAATCACGGGCGCGCTTATGTTTAAAATATTTTTGCGCAAATACCCGTATTATTCAGAAAAATAAAATTACACTTAAATTTAACTTAAAAAGATGTACTTTTATGCGATGTAAATATAATTTTTGTAAACATATGATTTAAATATTTAACATATTTGTATTTTCAAAATGCAAATATTTACTTTAGGTCGACACTTAAATTAATTGTAAGAAATACGTATTTCTACAAATATTTATTGTAGAGCTGTCAAATTTTGAAGTGGGACACACATAAATAACATTTAAAAATAGTTAGTTCACCGGCGTACGTAGGCAGCCCGCTGTCCACCGGACTCGCAACTCGGGACGTCAATGACACGACGCATCGTGAGGACCAAACATAATGCAACCATGAGACTTATGTCAGGTTGTGAATCGAAGAAAATGTCTTAATATGAAAAAAATAATTGAAGTAGTGTACGTTAAGGTTATTAAAACCAGCATTCCTGAGAATCTATTTAAAATACTTTAAAATTAAATAAGTCAATAAGAGACGATCACTTATTCTATTCAAAACAAAAATAATTTAAACATTTGGGTAGTCGTTTAATATCTGTTTTTGGTTGTTACAAAGATATTTTTCCGGACGCGTCTTCTCTGCACGTAGATGCCTTGCGCAGGGACATAAAATATTCCTTTACAGTTCTCGTCTACCACATCCCTCCATCCGCCATTCATCCTCAGCTCATTTCTCCTCACCCCTTTTCCCCAGCGAATTCCGTGCATACCGCTCTCCTTCAAGAGGTTAGCGGCAGTAAACGATTGCGCAAACCCACTCTACAAAACCAGACATTAAGCGCTGCTGCGTTTTGGCGGCACAATGTCGTCGTTTATCACTTTCCCTCCTTCAGGGATTTGTGAGCGGTGCTGTATTACTACCGCGTTCTCCGTTGGCGCATCGTGGAGCACGAGTTACGAAAAATTATGGCCGTCGACCGATGATGAGAGACGGGGGTGGGGTGCGCAGTGCACTCTCGTGCTTGCGGCGGTGGCGCACGCGACGGGGCCAGCACGTGCCTGCCACCGCCACCTCATTAACGCCGCCACCACCGCCCCGTTGCCTGTGTGCAGCCAGCGATTCCAATACGCGCCGTTTACTGTGTTCCACGGCTGAGGCTGATTTTCAAACAGTTTCTGCAGCTTCGGAGATGTCTGCTGCCAGTCTGCGCACCGTTTCCTTGTTTCTGAAAAGGCAGATGTAATTGGTTTTGTAAGCAAAATTTCTAAACTTTCTCTGAATTCCCCATTGGTTTTCTCTATGTTGAAGAGATGGCTAAATGAAAGGTCTCGCTGGAATGGGATTATCTAAGCAATTGATAATACGCTTCTGGAAAAAGAAAAAGTTATTTCACAGTTTATTTTGTTTGTAAAGCATGAATTCACAGAGTGCAAAAGTAGAAATTAATGAAAAACGCTGCCTATGGTTTAAGAATCCACGACATGAGTTTGTCTACTAACTGTACTCAAGAAGCATTAACTCGCGAGTGTCCCTTGTTACATATATGTAACAACATTTCTAGTCAACTAGGTTTTTGCACTAGTTTACAAATTTTATTTCTTCAATAAACGGAGACATCCTAAATGAAACATATAAGCAAGTTTTTTTTATACATGAATGTCAGATGTCGTTGCACAAAATTTGCAAGACATTTTTACAAATCTACAACCGCTTCTAACGTAATAACGATGCAAATATTTACATAAATTTTATGCAAATTTTAAAACATTTTAAAGAAAATGTTTTTCTATGCAATAGCGTTATATACAAGAAATATAAAATATTCTATTTTTAATGTTAAATTGTAATTTTAATCAATCTTTGTTTCCTCAAAAAAGTTTTCGTAGCACACTTCTGTACAATTTGCATAAACTTTGAGCAATGTTTACACAATACAACTACACAAATTTTATCCGAGAAACGGACATACAATTTTGTAAAAATATTAAATTTTATACCAATGTTGTATGTAATTAGTCCATTTTGCACAAATTTTGGACACAATTTGCGTCGTAGTGGTTATCAGGGAATATATTTTTAATTATGTTGTTCGTGAATTCATATGACATTTTTGGTGGGAGGCACTGATAGATATTTTGAAAAATGTGTAAACACTTTTTAAGCATAATTTTTTACCTAAAAATGGCTATTTATGCAACGCTCATAAACAGACGTCCACTTCGACTTCCCATAAAAACATTACATTTTATAATATATGGAGAAATAGAGACGTATGCATCACATGTAGACTTTTAAATAGTAAATAATAAGAAAACTCAGAAAAATGTAATATACAATATAAAAAACTATAATAACATAAAATTAAAGTGTGAATAGTAAATTATTTATACTTTTTAATTTAATTCGACATTGATTTTGTAGAAAAATACGCATTCTATTATAGAGATTTATTGAAAAGCAATTATTTTATAATCATAAATTAAGTGGGCAGGGAGATATTGTCAAATATTCATAATGAGATAGAAAAGGAAAATAATCCTTGTCAGCTAAACGGCTGAAATGGGCTACCTGCGTACTAAAATATAAATACAAGCCCAGCGTGAGTACGCATCGCCAGACACGTGGCACTGAGTCTTCCTCAAATCTACTATTATATACTACTATACGTGTCGCTTTCTGACACAAAACTGGAGGTTCTGCACATGCGTACCTTGAGAACTGAGTGCCTCGACCGTACGCTCAACCCCAACTAGACATACTGTAGGTGGTACGCTCAGGTCTAGACCGTGTCGAAGCTACCAAACTGCCAAATAAAAAACCGTAATTTTCATAAATTGTAAAAATGCAGATTTTTTAGTCATCCGCATGGCTTAATGCGGATTGGATGAAGAAAATACGGAGGGAAGTGCGTAAATGAGGTACCTCTGGCATCACTGGCTCTTATGGACAATGCTAATCTTATGGAAAACTCTCGTGCAGATGCGTAATCGATTGTTGCAAAAGTAAAAAGAAAACAATATATTCCCGAGGAGGAACATTATGGTAATCATGAACTAGTGGTGCTACAGCACATACTTTGTCGCGTTATTCGAAACTTCTACGTAAAAAGAACATAGAAATATTGCATTTTCTGGGCCACTACACATCAGCCATTATTTCAAAACGTTCAATTCAACAATTTTCAATAGAGCAACGCACTAGCAAGCGCAGCGTTATCAGAACTATGTGCATTCGCTTTGCTAATAATATCAATACAGTTCTTAGAATATACGCATTTACATCAAAATAATTACGAACATTCTGGCTGCTCATTCGTGAGGTGGCTTTCATCGTAAGATAACAGACTTAATAGCGTTTCATTTCCTCACTGACTTCTAACATCCACACTTCAGATACGATAAACACTTATGCTTTTTAACAAAGATGGTTTCTTGGAAGAGAAAAGATATAAACAAAAAAGTGCTTCTCAATCGATGCGGCATTGTAGCGAAATTTCTATTAATTTGCGGATTGCTTAAAACGAAATGCACCGATACATTGTAAAAGAGCGAGAAAGGAAAAATAGAATGAGTATTAGCATTTCCAATAGGAAATTATAATTGACATTATTAATTACTTTTCAAATCATTCATTCAGTTTTTCTCGTGACACGTAGTTGGTTTAAAACATGTATATATTTCATTAATTTCAAGCAGAAATTACACAAAAACGACTCGTTTTCTCGGCTCGAGAGTTTAGTAGTTTTGATGTTTGTGACATATTTCGAAGAAAACTAGCATGTCCAAAAATGGTGGAATTATTTTGGAAAAATTGAATAAAATATTTCAATTACTTCATATGGGAGAAATGCTAAAATGGAAACGGAAAGTAGGCGTCATGCGCATCTTCGCACGTTCGCGGAAAATTATTATCAGTTACCCTTGCTTAGAGAACATAATGTGTGATCGTTAAAACAATGGTTTGTGACTGTCAATTGTATGTATTCAATTTACTTTCTTATTAAATCAACAGAAAACGTCAATGAGGTGAGGGTGTTCTGATTATTATTTGAAAATTGCATTTCGTACATTCTGTTACAAACATTAAGGTGAAGTTTATATCAGGATTTACTGTTATACGCCAAAATAATATCCACCCGGCATTCACACACACAGACACACGCACGCACGCACGCACGCACGCTCGCTCACTCACTCACTCACTCGCGCGTACTCACCCACCCAATAAAATTAATACAAATTGTTTTTCTATTAATTGAATCTATAAATTATTTTTATTTCTTGTAAAGGGGGGGTTCTTGAGCGGTAAGTAATTATTTTCGGAGAGTTCAAGCGCGCGTTACGGGTGCGTTACTGTGGGGGGAAGGGGTATTCAAAATAATCCACATTTGCGTTACGTAATTGATGAACGGCCTCTTACTTTCAGTCGAACAGGGTCTCATTATCACCTCACTATTTTTCATATTTTGCCGTGAGCTGTTCTGATAATTTTACATTTTGATAGTACTCGATCCACAATTATGATATTTCTTATGTATATCTAAATTCAAGCGACGACGTTTAACTAAAGTTTTTGTTTCGTGTTTCATTATAAAGAATGTCTCATAAATATTACAAACTTGTAGGACATGTTGGGGTCGAATATGGTCACGTTTTGCCAATAACCATATTGCAGAAAATATCGGGGTTAGGGTCATTGTAACATAGAGATTAGAACACACGATTGCTAACGAGAGGCACTTTGGTTCAAATCCCAGCATAGCTGAAAATTACCTATTTAGGGCGGATCTAAGGTTCTCTCAGGCTTCTTTCCAACAGGGTACCAGTATTTACTAGCTTTGTGAACAAAAATATTGGGTAAAAAGTATCCTGTTGAAGCAAGACGCTTGCCACGCCATCTTCACCTCACTTCCAAAGACCATCTCAAAATACTCATTACACGAATTATTCAGAATGCCATGGAAGTGGGTAGTAACCGGACAAGATTAAATCAAAAGGATTTCTAATATGTTCTATACCCTAAACAGGTAAACCTCCAGTACTCCTGGTACAAGAGTAAACAAATATGAAACAAGGTTGCATAGGACAATGTTGACATCACGCCCTCAACTGAGAGGCTACTTTTTCTACATTGCGGTGTGACATGTACACGAACTTTCAGGAGTATTCACTGTCAATGAAACTGTCAATTTCTTTCATCTTCATCGTTTAGTTTGGCAGAAGAAATTTCAAATTCTCTATTTGATGGCCGAGAGGTTTGATGTTTGCATTTGTTACCCAATCAGACACAGCCAAAGCTGAAGGGACAAAAAAACTTACTGTTTTTTGCGAATAAACGAATCGTTCCTCGAGAGTTCCTTATAAACGCCAGATGAATTCCCGGCAAATTATAGATGCGACGTGAAAATGGTGTCTTGTGTAACTTCATATCCCGCCACATGTTTTTTGAAAAAAAAGTGACAATCGATTGCTCGAGGTGGTCTAGAAGTTTGTAACAGTATAACGACACACCCTTTATTTTAGGCTACCATAACTTGAAAAATATGGCAATTTATTTACCTGAAGCTTTCAATGATGATGAGCTGCCTGGATAGCACGATCTTCCAAAAGCCGCTGCCTTTCTTCGCGTCTTAGTTTTGCGAGCTGCCGTTCTTCTCTTATTTTCTCCACCAGCTCCATCTTTCGGCGTTCTTCTTCCTCGCGTTCCTGTCTGATCAGATGATAAACCTTATGGAACGCATTCATGTGCTCGTCTAGGCGTTCTCTGAGACGCTGCTGATGTTCCTGCCGTTTCAACTCGATCAACTTGCGATGCTCTCGAACCTTCTCGATTCGCTCCTGCTTCCGCCGCTCCTCCTCCTCCATATCCTGCCGCTTGAACGGCCACCTCTCCTGGAAGTCGTTCTGCTTTTCCTGCAGGCGCTCCTGTACCTTCTGCAGATGCTCCAGGCGCTTCTGCTCTACGAGTTCTCGCTCTTGCCGGATCTTCTCCACCCGCTCGAGCTTTAGTCGCTCTTCCTCCTCGCGCTGTTGCTGCCCGCCCTGTCGGACCCACTGGGCCAGGAACTCCTTCTGGTGCTCGTCGAGACGTTCCAGCAGTTTGCGTTGGTGTTCCTCGAGGCGCTGCGGGATGAGCTCCTTGATTTCGCGAACCCTTTGCAGGCGCTCCTCCTGCAGTTGCTCTTCCTCCTCGCGCTCCGGGTGGTAGCGCTGTCGGATGATCTCG